CCTCCCTCCCTTTCTCTCCCTATCCCTCCCCTCTCCTCTCCTCTCCTTCTCTCTCCTCTCCTTTCTTTTCTCTGTATATCTGCTTGGATTTCCTACCTGCCTCTAAGCTATCTTGCCATAGGCCAATGCAGCTTTATTCATCAACCAATCAGAGCTATTCATAATCACGGCATACAGAAAGACCATCGCACAGCAGCTATGTAGGTGCTGGGAATTAAATCTCAGTGCTCTGGAAGAGCAGCTAGTACTCCTAACCATTTGGCCATCTCTCCAGCCCTTTGTTTATGTTTGTTGTTATGGTTATTGGCTCCATCAAAGTTACACCATGCCCTCCTTATCTGTGATATTTTGTCTTGTTATGGCAATATGAAGAGCATTCTGCTAGAAGCAGCACTTTCCACTAACATTCATTGTAAGATCTGATAGAATTTTTGGAAGCAAAATCCATAAATGTATGTTCTTTATTTTACCTCAAGACTGGTTGTCCCTTTGTGGGGAAAGGAAGAATCCCTGAAGGTATAAAGTCCTGAGTAAATGTGTTTTGTTGGCATAAATCAGACATATCAAGGACCAAAGCCTTAGACATGTGGCAAATTGGAAAAGCCTTCCCCTGAGGAAGACACATGGGATGGCAAAAGGCCAGTGTCTGTCCACCTGTTGACTGTGTGAGCAGAAAATGCCTACCATAACTTTCTCCCCCTAGATATTTATAGCCTGAAGACTTTTCTCCAGCAGAGACTTCTTTTGCAAGAGTAGCTAAAACTGCCTTCTTGATTCAGGTATATGCCATAAACCCTGCCATTTGGTTCAGCTAAATGAAATAACTCACCCCTCTGTTCAACTGTGTGTAATAAACACACTAAGCTTCATGACTGCAGCAGCTTCTCCATCAAGGAGCCCAGACCACCTTATGCCAGCTGTCCTATCCATGTGCTTATCTATTGCACAGTCTCTCACTGCCCCTCATCAGGATTCTGGGACAGAAGTTATGCTAGAATCTAGAATTTCTTGAGGTTTCAATATTCAGTCTTGTTAGCACAGAACATCAAGTTTACCAGTTATGATTCCACCAGAACTAAATAATACACACACACACACACACACACACACACACACACACACACACACACACACACACACACTTCCATTTATAAACCTCTGTTACCGATGAGGTGATTTTCTACAGTAGCTTATTTTTCACTTCAGTTTGGTAATAGAAATTTGACCTATGACCTCACTTTTTCATTAGCTTCAAGAAGATTTGTTGTAAGTTTTGCACTTATTAGAATGTAAATGCTGGCCTGGAAACTAGGAACTCTGATAATTTAGTGGGCTTGTAAAAGGATAGTGCATTTTCTTATAAACAGGAAATAGTTAAAAATGGAAAATTATTATTTTATAAATACCATTAAATAGATTATTCAAGTAACATTACAGTTGAACATACCAAATAACTTGTGATAGAAAAAAACTGAATTTTATTATGTGACTTGTAGGAATTAGTTATGTCAAATCTAAGCCTCTTGTTAAATTTTATAATGTAATCAATTCCAACAACTCTTGAAAAATGCTCCTTGAAGTTAAAGGAGGACTCAGTTACTGTAAACACAATCAAATAAAAATATAATAATAATAATAATAATAATAATAACTGCAAGTCTCTCCCTTTGTTATATTTTTCTTCTTTTCTAATTTACTTTCATCAGGAATTTGTATCAGTCCTGAATTAATAGGCAGTTACTGCTCAAAGCTCAGAAATGAAACTTTACTGATGCTTGGTGCCATGAGATACACACTAGTAAGGTATTGAAAGCTAGAGACAATGCATTGGGGATATTTTACATATTTTGATAGATTATCATGAAAAATATTCTAGAAATGTTGCCTTTTCATATTAAAGCAACCCTGTGCTAAATACATCTTTAAATATCAGTTCCCCAGCTCTTCCAGATTTCAAATGGAATTATCAAGACAAATATAAGTACAATTTGTTTCAAAGATCTTGACACTATTAGGGTATTGTTTTCTTAATAATCCTTGCTGTTAAGAAAGTTACTACATGCCAAAAACATGAAAATGCTATGGTCTTGATAGCAATTCTTTTGTAAACTCCTATAAACACAAAGTTTCTCTCCTCGAGAGCAATGTAAAGAACTATTGACAGTGAAGAGAACTTTAATTTTCAAAACTCACCAATAATTGGCTCAGGCACTCCCTCCTTAAGGGGTTAGATTTTTTTTTGTTTTTGTTTTTTGTTTTTTTTTTGAGACAGGGTTTCTCTGTGTAGTTTTGGTGCCTGTCCTGGATCTCACTCTGTAGACCAGGCTGGCCTCGAACTCACAGAGATCTGCCTGTCTCTGCCTCCCAAGTGCTGGGATTAAAGGTGTGCCCCACCACCACCACCACCAGGCAAGTGGTTAGATTATTGTGGGCTTAAATGCAGACTTTTTTCCTTCCAAATTATGTCATCATATACAAGCGATATAATATCTCATAGCCAAATTCCTCCCTTGCAAGGTGGGGATAATTCCAAACTTAAAAGGTGGTTACACAATACATGGCAAAGTACAAGTGTACTATTAAATGCCTGGAATAAAGTAAGTACTGCTAAACATGCTCACTGATGTGGTTGCATTTATTATTTGTAATTCATTTATTTGTTAAAAATTTTCAAGTATTGATTAGGTACTCTACTAGTCAGGGTTCCCTAGAGGAACAGAAGTAATAGAATATACATACACCCATCTACCTATATCTATCTCTGTTAAATATTTATATCTATCTATATAAATAGTAAAAGGGAATTTATTAGAGTGACTTACCCACTGTGATTCAAACAGTCTTACAACTGTCTGGTGATAGAAAGACAAAGCATCCAGTATTTGTTCTATCAGTGAGGCTGGGTGTCTGGACCACCCCAATGTGGTGCTATAGTCCCAAGGAATTCCTACAGAGACAGTCATCTTCCATTCATGTTGGAATCAAGGAAATCCCTCACAGTAATGCCAGCTATTGGATTTAACTGATTCTGGATGTAATCAGTTAATAACCAAAGTTAGCTACCATTGTAACTTCAATTTTATATTTACCATGTTAATTGCTCATCATCTTATACCAATTTAGGTTAAAGGAACACTATTTTATCTTTTATATACACAGAACAAACAAAGAAAAAAATTCAACAACAATAAAAAAGCTAGGCCAACAAGATGGCTCAGTTGGTAAAAATTTGTCCCCAAGCTTAACAGACAACTTGAGTGTTATCTCTGGACCTACATGGAGAGAACAGACTCCTAAAAAGTGTCTTTTGAGCTCTATAAATATGCCTTGGCACATGTATATGTACACATAATACACACAAAGACAAAAATTGAAATTTAAGATGTCTCTAGTCTTATAACAATATTTTTCATCCACATGCCCCACATATTACTAAATTTAGGAATAAGTCAGTTTATATTATCATGAGTTGCTAATTTTTGCTGTTTTTATTTTATCTGAGACTAGGTTTCATATACATCCCAAGTAGGCCTTCTTCTCAGTCTTTGGAGGGGTAGAGAACTCCAGTTGTGTTTAACATGTTTACCATGTTGTCTTTAATCTTCTTTTACACTAAATGAAGTACATCCTTTTCATTTGGTAGGAAAAGCGTGTGCTTTGAACTCTGGCTGAGTGGTTTTCTCTCCTCGAATAGCTGATTCCTCAACCCATAGGATTGATTGGATTTTTCCACAGCCTCACTCTGAGTATTACTTTCTTCCATTTTTCCAGATGCCATAACAATTTCTGAGAATCACTGAGTCCTAAATAAGATAATGTTGCCTATTTTAGCACCTCGTGCTGAGTCAATGCTCAATAAATGACAGTTACCATTTTCAGTAAAATTACTTAAAATAAGGCATTTTAATTAATGAAAGTGGAATTTCTCTTATACTTAAAATTTTCCATTACAGTCTTATTTAAACTTTCTATAATTTTAAAGTCTTTTTTTTTTTCTAAAGAAAGTGCTATCAGAAATACTGAATACTACATAACCTTAGAGGTTTGGGGAGAAGATGAGGACTGATTGAAAACCTTCAAGAAAAAAATTCAATGGCAATCAGGTGTTAAAAGTTTAATTAGGAAATTCATCCCTTGCACATGGGCTAATGCAGACTGTGGCAAGCTGCTTAATTTTCAATTCTCAGGCTATTTTACATTGTCAACATTCTATTTAGTAATCTTGGGGGAAATAGCATCAAAAGCAGACAAAGAAAAATGTTTCACTTTCCTGCAGCTGACTCCCTGATTGCCTGACGTTTAGTTACATTTGGGCATCTGTCTCAGGAACTCCCATTGTCTGAAACCATATGCAAACTGAAGTGTGCTTTGGGGTACAGACAAGAGGACAGAATTGGTACTTGGATTCACCATCCAGCAGCAGTGGGAGAAGCTGGACAAGCCTAGGATACTTCATACAGTTCATTTAATGAACTGTTACTTTATTATTTTGCAAAGCTTCCGGAATGCACGTTTATGATATAAAAAATGCTTTGCATACTGCTTCATCGAAAGAGGACCTCATTTAGATTAACCTGTGACTTCAACAGCAGGTGGTCGAATGAGCCAACTGCTTCAATTACTGCTTTTGCGCATGACTTTCATGTGTTGCTAAGATTATCAGAGGAACCTGATTACATCCCCTTAGACACTATTGTTGGCACGATGATTAAGCTGTTATTTTTTTTTTTTTAAGACTGGGAAACTAAAAGGCTTTTTGGCATGAGGCAAAAGCTCTGTGTATAGAGATCAGTAAGATAGTGTGTATCATTGCCCTGTAGCTTATCTCCACATATACAGCTCCCTGGTGGATCCCTATGATAAACATTATTGGAACAATTAGCTGCTGCTGACACAGAATCCAGACACAATAGCCATGGCCAGCAGCACAGAGCCAAAAATTATGGAGCCAAAAACCATAAAAAGCAACACCAAGCCAGTCTCCCCATTCAACTGCTGTCATAAACCCCTCCCGGTGCTGTGTTTGCATAGCTGCCTTCCCCGATATGCCGCCGTTAGCACAGAGGCAGGGGCTGCAGCTCTTGCCTTTGTCTAGCCGAAATTACAAGTCATTGAATTAGTATGTCATCTTTATTGTGCTGTCATGCAGCGGAGGTGAGGAAGGCTCCCGTAATGGATGGGAGAGTTTGATGGCCTGAGAGACAGGCTCACAGATGGTTGTTGATATAAAGCAGTTTTCCCCCTTTAAAAAAGAGCAAGAAGGAAAAGGGGGAGAAGCGCAAAAAAAAAAAAAAAAAAAAAATCCCGCTTAAGATGGATTGGGACTGATTTGCGATGTGATGCAGAGATAGCTGTACAAGTCTCATGTTTAAGAACTTTGTGAGTCTGGAATATAAGACAAAGGCAACCAGGGCAAACCTTACTGAGGAATGCATTTATTAGACATATAAAGCAATGTTTCACATTCATTGGTTGCTGATAGGATTATTGTGGTTCTTAGAAAATTTCTCATAACCTTTCTAAATAATTTCGAATGATTAGATAATGTGAGAAAAGTCAACTATCTTAAAGTTAGAAATGAGCGTTTTGAATATTACAGGAAATACCTAATTCTGCACTAGTGTTATTAAATCGGTTTCCTAGAAATTCTACACCGTGACTGAGAGTTTGAAGATAGTAAAAGACATGTTTTTTATTTCAATGATTTACTGTTTTTACTACTTTTTTATCTTCAGTTTCATTCATATTTTAACAGATTGTTGGGTCTTTTTGTGTCTGTGTGTCTACTAGAATCAATGAGATGCACAACAGAATATCACTTTAAAGGATAAAAAATTGTTTCTTTTGTCACAATTATTCAAAAGGCTGATACAGCCTAAAAGCAACTGATTTTTAATCAGACCGTATTTCCCAGAAAGAACACCCTTCCTGCCAGTATGCTTGGCTTAAGAAGCAAACTAATTACACCTAAGAGTTCACAGAACTTTCAGTGTGCTGATGCTTTTTGTTGGTCTTTCCCTTATACACAAGGAAAGCAGAAAAAAGCCTCAGTGGTGTGCTTTCCTATTGTATGAGATAGATGTATAGGCATACAGAAACTTTTCACAAACTAACGTACATGTGATTATTTTAAAAGGCTTCGCTCATGGCTGCAGCTGACTCAGCACTTCCTGCTCCTGCCCAGGGCTAGGGTCAAGAGTTCATTCCCAGGGCTAGGGTCTAGAGTTCATTCCTAGCACCCACATGGCAGCTCACAACTACCTTAACTCCATTCCGGGGGGGCCCAATGTTGTTGATAGGCAGTACATTCTATGGTGGACAGACATACAGCAGTCAAAACACTCTTTTAGTTTGTTTGACATACATTTTTAAAAATAGTTAAAAATGAGCTGGGCGGTGGTGGCGCACGCCTTTAATCCCAGCACTCGGGAGGCAGAGCCAGGCGGATCTCTGTGAGTTCGAGGCCAGCCTGGGCTACCAAGTGAGTTCCAGGAAAGGCGCAAAGCTACACAGAGAAACCCAAAAAAAAAAAAAAAAAAAAAAAAAAAAAAAAAAAAAAAAGTTAAAAATGCATTCGGTCATATGCGGAACAATCAAGAGACATAAATCCAGAGGAACAGAATGGTAGAAATTAGCTCTGTCCATGAATGTCCTCAAGGGTAAAAAGCAAGTCCTTGTTTTGTTTTCTGTTGCTGTTGTTGTTTGTTCGTTTTGTTTTGCAGCTTTCTGGATCTTTCCAAAGCAGTATTTCAGAAAGCTATGTGAAATTAGAAGTGCGAGCTTAGTTCAGAATTAACTTTCTATTCAGCGACATTATTATATTTGTTACATGTACATTATCAGATTTTGTTTCCAAATTTTATGAACATTTCCTATTTATTTGAAGATGATGATGCTGACTTGCAATTTGTTATGAAAAGCAGCCTGGATAAGAAAGACACTGTTGGTGATTTGAGCCCATAGAATGGAAGGGAAACATGGATGGACTTTGAGGTCTCATTATGTTACCTGTTAGCTGACTACTCTTGAACTAGTTTATATGAGCCTGATGTTTTCATTAATAAATACAAGGGAGAATGAATAGCTCAGACGTATGAATAATGACAGCAAATGACCTGATCATAGCTTGGGGATGCGTTTTCCTGGTTTAAGAATTACAAATTGCAATTCATTTTTCCAGTGTTTCCTGTATCAGCAATTGGGCAGAACCAATAGATTCAGATCCTGGAAGAGGACCTGGAAGTTTGGGCATAGAAGATAAGGCAGAACATACAGAATGATCTTCTAACCAGGTGTTCTAGTTTGCCTACCAAAAGTGAGTATGAAGGCTTTCCAAGTCAGTCTGAGTATATGTGGGTCCAGCGAGCAGACTCTGGACCATGGGGCACAAGGTCCTAGCTACTGGTAGAAAAAACACATATGCACGAAACCAAGAATGTCATTAGAGTTATCATCACTTAAAAATTAGCATTGCTAATCAGAGCGGTTTCATCCAGAAACTGGTAGAAACAGATGCAGAGACCCACAGTCAAACATTAGGCAGAGCTCAGGGAATCCTGCTGAAGAGAGGCAGGAGGGATTGTAATAGCCGGAAGGTTAAGAACATCCCAAGAAAACCCACAGAATCAACAACTAACCTGGGTTCATAAGAGGAGCTCACAGAGACTGAACTGACAACCAAGGAGCCTGTGTTGGATTGACCTAGGCCCTCTGCATATATGTCACAGTTGTGTAGCTTGGTCTTCTTGCGGGACTCCTAACAGTGGGAGAAGGGGCTGTCGCTGACTCTTTTGCTGGCTTTTGGGACCCTATTCCTCATATTGGGTTGCCTTGCCCAGCCTTAATACAAGGAAGGCAAGTTGCTTAGTCTTACTGCAACTTGATATGCCACGTTTTGTTGTTATCCATGGGAGGCCTGCCCTTTTCTGAAGAGAAACAGAGGAGGAATGGGTAGGGATTGGGGTGGGGGGGAGTCCGAGGGAATGTGGGGGAGAAGGACTGGAAAGAGAGGAGGGAGGGAAAACTGAGGGTTGGATGGAAAATAAATTAACAAATAATTAGCATCTTTGAGTCTGTTATAGAGACAATGACAATTTACTCTGTACAAAAGACAATTTCTGTTATACATAATACTGAGCTGAATTAACATAAATATGTACATCACCAAGATAGATTTATCTCTGAATTGGTGTTGGGATAAGATGGTTTCCATAGAGAATTCCTGAAAAACCTGTGAGCAAGGAGATAGGGTGGATGGAGAAGGTCCAAGAATGCTGAGATAGATCACTACTTTTGCCACAGTAAAAAGGCGAAATTACTCAGTGTTTATAGGTGCCAAAGCATTTTGTTACATACCTTTCTTTCTTTCCCTTTTGATTTCATCCTTCTCATAAAATCTTAATTAATTTCCTGGATGAGAACTAAAATAAAGCCAAGGAACAAGAAAATTTGTGTGTTCATTTTAGTCAAAGGGGATTGTTATTTAAATGTCAAAAAATAGGCATATCTGTATTCTGCTGTTCTAGAGTTGTCTTGAGTAGTGTTTTAATGGTTAGGTCACAGGTTATATGTGATATAAACTGATTTCAGCTTAGTCATCTTTTCTATTTTTTTCTTGTAGCCTGAAACTCGATCTTTCCCATAAATGCTGGGGCTCCACTGCTTTTGCCTCTCTGGGCATCATCTCCTTTCTTTGGGCTTTGCTTCTTACTTACGAGGTGACTGAGAACTAGACAGTGATTTGAAAAGACCACAGAATCAAAATTTCGTCAAAATTAGCTGGATTTGATTTAGCAATTATAATAATAAGCAATACTAAGTAGGTAATGTCATCATCTGTCAGTGTTATTTTTATTCACTAATTGTATAAACTGTAAGTGAATGCATCTTGGACCACTGCAAAAATGAATGTAGGTTTTCTCTACATCTCTATCTCTCTCTCTCTTCTCTTTTTCTTTTTGTGATTTCTCTGTTTTTAATGCTATCGCCTCCTATGAAACATTTTTATGCTAATACTTGTAAATGTATTTCAAGTCTCAGCTTTGTCACTGAGTTTAATAATAGTTATGTAACATTAATATTTCCCTAAGTCAGTCACTAACATCTTTCTCAGTCCTTCCTTGTATATTATGAGACTCTAATTATCCTACACTTCAATATTCAATTGTAGAGAGGGAACCAAAACTTAACTTGTAACTGGAGGATTGCCCAGTCACTTTGTAGAATGTCTTCAAGATTTTATGATAATTCCTCATTCTAAGTATGTCCATCTTCTATCTCCCTTAGACCAACAACCATCTTTAGTCTCTTTTTGCTTCTTGTTCTTGGACATTTTCTAATCAGTACAATCTAGTTCCATGCCATGAATATCCCCCTACACATACACCCTTAAATACACCCCTAATCATACAACCCCTACACATATACCCCCTACACATACACTACCTACAATATACCCCTACACATACACCCCTGCACATGCACCCCTGCACATACACACACCTGCCGTGTTTTCTCTCACAGTATTAATCTGCTAGGGCAAGCCACCTAACATTTGATATCTGCACTGAAAACAACCTCTGAGGAACCCTCCCTTCTCCTACAATTTCTCCTTTCCTTGGCTTCTCCCTGGTCCCTCTCAGAACGTTAGAGGCTTCTTGCCTTTCACGAGTTTCAAATATCTTCCCTGGTTGATACTCAAAAACATTTGTATCTTGGTAATTTTCTTTTTAATCATTTGCATAAAACTTGTACAAAGAGAGACTCTAGTTTAACAGGCCCATTCACGTTTTAAATATTTTTTTAGATAATTACCTAATTACGATATTTATCTTTTTCATTTCTTTTCTTCAAACTCTCCCATATACTCATTCTCACTCTCCTCCAAATTAATGGCTTGTATATTTATATGTATATACATATATATTCCTAAATATGACCTGTTCAGTTTCTAAAATTATACCAGTATGCATGTTTTCAGGGCTGATTTTTTTTTTTTCCTGCATAGGAAAAACCAGCCAGTGTGCTTCTCTGGGGAAGGGCACCTCTCCTGCTTCTGGCTTTCTGTAGTGGCCTGTAGTTCTTTGTTTAGGACTGAAGCCTCATAGGCTTTGCTCCAAAAGGTTAGGCTTATCCATTGGTGTCATTCTTGTTTAGCTCACGTATGGTTACTCCCTAAAGGTAGAAGGTAAATCCCTATTGCAGAAGACACCATGCATGTCAGACACAGGGTTCAGAGAACTCTGAGCAGGAACTGACCTGAATGGCCCCTCCCTGAGAATTATCTTTTTGGTATCAGAAGGCACCATACAAGCTTCCAAAGAAGGGAGGTGACCAATAGTTCTATTCAGCTTTGATACCTATTTAACAGATCAGCAACCATTATGGCATCATAACCCTAAGGTTGCAGTGGGGGCTCATGGTAACCAACAGCTCTCTAATGGTACTTAACCACCTGCTCAACAGGAGGGATACCATTCCTGTTTCTGGAAACCTAGCAAATTACCCAGTGTTAATGAAGTCATGATTATTGGAGGGGAATCTACAGTGACTGATTTATTATGGTATGTTGCTAGGCTGTGAGGTTTGAATGAAAATGGCCCCCATAGGCTCCTAGGGAGTGGCCCTATTTGACTGTGGCCTTGTAGGAGTAGGTCAGGCCTTGTTGGAGGAGGTGTCATGGGTAGTAGGTTTGGGGGTTTCAGTAGCTTAAGCCAAGCCCAGTCTCTTTTCCTGCTGCCTGCTGATCCGATGAGAACTCTTTGCTCCTTCTCCAGCACCATGTCTGCCTGTGTGCCACCACACTTCCTGCCATGACAGTAATGGACTAAACCTCTGAACCTATAAGCCAGCCCCATTTAAATGTTTTTCTTTATAAGAGTTTCCATGCTCATGATGTCTCTTCACAGCAATAGAAACCCTAGCTAAGACACAGACTAACTTAGCATATTCCCTAACAATAGCATATAATCGTGCGTCCCTACCTGTACAGGTAAGTGTAGTTTTCACTGCCCAGCCACTTCTCAGAAGTTAGTGCATGCCCATACATGCAGTGCAGATGTAATTTCTTCCCCCAGTTCTCATACTGTCATTTGTTTTCTCTGTGACTTTTACTTGCCAGCACTTTTTGTTCAATAGCCTTTACCATGTTATAGATCTCTAAAGATTATCTTCTCCCCTTTCTCCAGAAACTCTGTCCCTGTTCAAGCTTAAGCTCTTGGTGAGCCAGATATGATTCAGTTATCATTACATTATCAAAATACATCACTGTAATTTCTTAGCAATACTCAATAACTATTATTTTAATGCAGAGAATTATTAAACCTCAATGCTTGCCTTAGTACATGCTTCTTGAAATTCCGTGGTCAGCTTAATTGGTAGAATTAAAAGGTTTCAGACAGCTGAATGAAATTATGTTGTAAATTCTCAAAACTATGAAATCACTGATTTTTTTAATGATTTTTAACTGTTTGTTGAGACTTGCATTCTGAATGCTGTCCTTTAGTTTCACATTTTGTAACCTCAGATAGTTGTCTCTATGAAGGAATTATACAGTGTTAGAGAGATGGATTTCAAAATTAGCAGGTGAGATTCCAGCAGACATATGTTCAGCTATAATCCATGAATATAGAGGCAGCTTCACATTTTACGTTGAGAGCAATTGGCAAAATAGTTAATGGAATTGACACCAAGAAAAAGTAAGTTGTTTAACTGAGGGCAAATGAAACAAAAGACTAAATCTCTATCAGGAAGTGCAGTTCAAATATAGTGTTGTTTAAAATGTTGTACTCCAACCTCATGGACTTGCTGAAGATGAGGGAGGGGCAAAGGAATAGAAAATACTCAAGGAGGTTGAATTCACCCCCTGACTTCACACTCAGATAAACTTGCAAATGCAATTGGTTTATTTTGTATAAATAAGCAAGAATGCTGGAAGAAGCTAAATATCTTCATAAAACAAAACATTATGATACCAGAAACCCTTAGGAATAGCACTAATGCTTTTAAATGAAGGTTTTATTTGTCTCTGAGCTGCAAAAAGGAGTCACTAATGAGATGTCATTTAAATTCTAACACCTGTTTAATGGCAGTTTTTCTCTATCCCCAAAGAGTAGCTGTTTATGAATGTTTGCAGCTTTCCAAGTGTATCTACAAGAATTGTTTTTCATAAACAATGTGTGCTTCTTGCTCACATGCTCCAGCTGCATTATTACAGCGCATGATAAAAATGGTCGGCTGTGGCATGTTTTTGTTAGATGGGTTTCAAATACTGAAAGTTAAAAGTTAAGATTTTGTGATCTTATAGCAAATATTCATTAGAAACTTCATGTTTACAGATACAGTTAGTGTACAGAGCTATAAGACAAACATGATTTCCAGTTGTATTCTTACTGAAATAAGATGGAAAATACTATGATGGAAAATGTGCCCACACATTTCCTGCTCCAAGAACACAGTGTTATTCATAAATGAGCATACATGCAGAAGAAATGTTTCTTGAGGTTTTTTTTTTTTCATCCAACAAGTCAATAGATGGAATGTCAGAATGAGACTATATCATCCTTTTCTACTACTTTTATGATTTTTCTCATATAAACAATTTCCTTGTTAAGAAAATTTCAAAACAAAAACAAACAAACAAAAAAAAAACAGCCCACAATAACCGTTGAAATGCTCCTGTATGGTTTCTCTCAAAATTAATCAGAAGAAATAACAAATATTCTATGGCCAAATACATAAAAAAAATCTACTAGAGAAAGTATTTTCCTTCAATGTCTGACTCTTTTTGTGGTCTCACTTTTGAACAAACCATTCTCATGGCTATTGTCCACTAATAGTAATTCAGCACAAGTAATACATAAATGCACTCTTAACGATTCACTTTTATCTAGAGAAATTCAAGTGTAAATTTCTTGAAGTAGGAATTTTATGAAAATGAGAATATGAAATCTCAAAGGTGATTCCTTCTGGGAAGGCTGTGAGACCCTTGTTTTAAGAATGTGCATCTTGTACCTGGTAGGACCGTAGTTGTTCCCTTCACATGCTGGATATGAGACAAAGCAATTCTTGTTTGTAAGTAAAGCCGTCTTGTCCTGGGGAAAGGTGAGACCAGGGTCCCATGGAGGAAATCTTCAGAGCTCAGGATTTAAGATGAGTTTACTAAGCTTACTGAAAAGAGAAAAACTAAGTCATGACATGCTCCACGTGTGGACCTGGACAGCTCTATAAAACCTAAGTGTTCTGCGTATTAAAGGAAGAAGGAACAAAATTGTCTCAGATGTGATTATATTATGCTGAAAACTAGTCTACATTTCTTCCTCGCAGTCATTATTTTTCCAATTTCTTAGTGCCAAATCAGCTACTCTCCCCTCTGAAGATCTTGTCCTCTTTGAGATTCTAGTCATTGAAAGAATTTTTTTCAATGAGCAGAACAATGCGATCTTTCTTTTTTTAGTGTTTAAAAATGCTCTCTACCTTCCCTCTCTTCCTTTCTCTCTGCCTCTATATAATCATACAAATATACATAAACATGTGCTGGAGAACCGGAAAACATCATGAGTTCTGGGTTTATACAATTTTTATTTATAGGTGGAATCTCACTGTTTAATCTGTGTTCTAATTACTCACAGGATTTATTCACAATTGCTTGACACACACTTCATGCTGAGCCCAGGGAAATAAGCATATTCTTTTTTTTTCCTGTTGCAGCTCTTTCCTTGACTTATGAAAGCCAAATATCCATTCTGTATGGAGAGATGAATCAGCAATCCATATAATATCTATTCATCATACATATTTCACAAGGAGGATATTGTGGTGACTGCAAAGTTCTTACAAAAAATAATATGGAAATCCGGAACTTGATGTGGAGTGTCAGAGAGCCTCTTACTATTATTTACCTTATCAGCTTTTGCTTTCTGAAATCAATGGAAGGGCATCAAGTTCAGCTAATCCATATTTCTGAGTATGAAATTGAATTTATAGTCTGTAGTATGTTGACTACCGCTCGCATTTAAGGCATAATTGATTTTTATTGAAAAGCCAGCAGGCACATCAAAAATTTCCACAAACCACAAGGATGTTAAATTTTACCCTGTTTAGATAATAGTGTGGCTTTATTTATCCTTTAAAATGAAGCTTTTATATTTATATCAGCAAATGCCATGGAAGTGTGACTGATACCTTGTGAAACCATAAATCCATGGTTCTGTAAAACTGTGCTGCACAGAAATAGCAACTTTATATTTCAAAGGTAAATGTCTATGGTTGGTTTGTTTTAAGGATAAATGGATAAATGGAATAATAAATCTAGCACCATATCATGTCATATGGCAACATTCTTTCCCCTGAAACAACAGCTTGTACCAGTTTTTCTTTTTTTCTCTTTCTCTCACATTCTTTCTGAGTTTCATTTTATCTTCTGCTTTACACATTATGTAGTTTGTTTGCAGAGTCTTTATGCATATGTTATTCTTACAAAAGTATATTTTTTTAAATCAATCATTAATCCTAGCATGTTATGCTTTGTTAAGTTTCATTAAAATGCCCCCAGCCCATATGATAAGCCGATGTGCTCCACCTCTATATCTTTAAATTTTAGAATGAAAATATTAGTGAATACCTTTGTCATAGAATTCATGAGCCTAACATCAAGAGTTGTGTGGACTTAAACATTGGGCTTTGTCTCTAATGGGTATGACATCATAATGACATGGATATGAGATCATAAATGTCATAGGTTAGGTTTTCTTTGAACCCTCCAAAATTACAACAGTATTTACATGGAGGAATCAGGATACATTGTATAGAGTTTGGGAAATGTATGGGATGTATTAGGTCTTTGTAGGAAATAGATTGTATCCAGGGCCTCATTGACTTGTGCTAGCCAAGGGAGGGTAGACATTCGTGACCAGAAGAAAGGTCAACTCATTGAGAGATCCATTGTCCTGTGCTTATCGGGCTTTTAAGCATCTTATGAGGCAGACATGCATGTAGTTGAAATACCTACTTACCATTATCTATACTTATACCCCATTTCCATTTTAGACTTAAGATATTTTAAGTTTTTATTTTACTTTGTTTTTAGTTATGCGCTCTGTTTGTATATATAGGTCTGTGCGTGTTTGAATGTAGGTGCCCACAGATTCCAGAAGAGGGGATGGCAAGCTCTGGAGGTGGAGTTACAAGTAGTTGGGAGCAGCCCAATGTGCATGCTGGGAACCAAATTTAGGTCCTCTACACCAGTATATGTTCTTAACTGCTGAGTCCTCTTTCCAAACTTATAATTACAAACTTTTAATATGGCCTAATATGCCCTAACTTTTCTAGG